CCCCGAAATGAAATAAGATGAGATAAGATAATTTATTTAACGTCAAATACACAGGCGATGGTTACCCAGTCTCCCGAGCCGGAGGCTCATGATAAATGTGTTTGACATGGTAAAAACTAAATGCGTATAAAAGAACTACACATATCTATACAATTAATTTTGTCGAGTCTAAAGATAGTTAATAATGAATATATGTATATAAGTACGGTTACATCAAAGGCAGTTACTGCATTGGCAGCTGATTCTAAATACGAGAAATAACGTAGGTGTACGAGCTATGTAAAAATCTACTCGTGAAAGATTGTAAATCCAAACCAACTTGCTTAATCAAACATCAAAGCAAGGAATCAGACATACGGCCCAGGGCATTTGTCAAAAGCGTAATTTTTTAGAATGTATCATTATAACAAAGCAGCAAAATAAAGCTTTAAAATAAACAGGGAAAAGAGGGGCTTGTAAGATACGGGTTAACTCAATGCTTACCTGGAGGACCCTGAACAAGGGTGAAAGGCTTCCCAAGCGCCTCTTTCACTGCTTCTTCCTGATACTGATTTAAAGGATTAAACCCACAGTTGGGATGCTCCCTGACAATTGACAGGTGTGAAGACGGTGCGGGCCCAAAGTCATCTAAAGAAGTAAGATAAAATGCTTTTTGGTTTTTAAACCAATGATGGGGGAGGGTATCATTTGAGGCCATTCTTCATAAGTGATCAAGGATCTTAATTGTAGATCACTTAGGTGCATTCAACTTTTGTGTATGTGTGGGAGACGACTCCTCTGACTTTTAACTGGCTCACAACACTTTCTAGCTCTTTCCATTACTGACATTACCACTCTTAACAGATGACGCTACAATTAATAATGGTAATTGAACTGAGTGGAGCGCAATTTGGTTTGAAATCATACGCGTGATTTCAAAATCGAACGAGCGCGCAGCGCGGGTTCGATTTGAAATCACAAGTATGATTTCGGACCAAAATTGCACGACACGAAGTTCAATTGCCAATTTATTAGATCCATTTTGAAATCGCACAATTTCATCACCTTAAATTTCAGATTTTGGTGTATTGATCCGTTAGCCGGTTTGTTGATGGCGGAACCGGAAATGCTTTTCGTCTCATTTAGTGTGCAAAACGATGTCATGTGACGAAAACTCATTCAAGCATAACAAAGAAACAAGTAGTTCTGAAGTCCGAACGGAAACAGTCTACTTCATGCATAACAGTTCAATTCTCGTCGCCTGAATCAATGATGGAAGGCCTTCCTTTCT